CTGTATTATAATTATAATTACAAGCAATATTGAAAAAACGAAAAACTTTTCCTACACGAATATGGAAATTACTCTGCTCACTTTATTGATTTTACTCTCTTGTTTTGTTTTTTTGCGTAGGTGTAGTATCCTGCTGTAAAACAAATTAAATTTCCCTTGATGGTACGAAAGCGTCAGACAATTATCTGGATTATCAGATGACTAGATAATTTTTGTTTCGTAAATAGCGCGTAAATAAATTTTACGCATCTAAATAACGTACTGGATAAATCTAGACTTACTTAATGTGAATTTAAAATTTGCTTAATTTAGCAAAAAATCCAATACATTATATAAAACAGAACCTTAAATAAAAATTGTTTGCATTAATAAAAAACACTTTGTATTTGTGCTTGTTCTAATAATCATATAAATTAAAATGTACTATAGCTCTACTCTATTGAATTATTGTGTAATGAAACGACTTCCTTCAATTACGCAGTTAGGAACAGTGCTCATTTTTTAACAGTGGCGTAACAAAACAAAAAATATACTATTTTCGGATTTTTTATAAAATTGTGATATAAAATAGATGAAAATTATATAAAATTAATTTAACTAAACATACCTTCTGTAAACACATTTGCTATTTGTAATCAAAGCAATTTTTATAACACAGTATAAACACTGTATATTAGGCCGAAGCGAAAAATAAAAAAAATATTTTTGGAAATTCTTAATTTAAAAAAATTTCAACCCACCCGGGGCGTGGCTTGTTTTAAAAATTTGAAAAAAAAACAGCTTATTTGTATAGGTACTCTTCTCACAACTGTTTTAAATTAGGACAAGTGAGATTTTTAAAAATAATTTCTTTTACCCCCACCTTTAAAACTCCCATTAGCGTACATATTTTCATGAGACTAAGTTACCTTTTAAATACATATTGAGGCTGAATTGAGACTTAAGTCTTAAGTCAATTGAAGTTTAGGCTATGGCGTTTTAGTCAAGAGCTGAAGTTTTAAGTTAGTTGACAGTTGTCAAATGTCATACAATCGTTAAAATAAAGTGCCCTTCTGGAAAAATAATACTAAATGTAAACATTATTTTAGTATCTCAATACAAAAATACAAAAGTATTAAATAGTTTCTCAACATCAATATATAAAAAGTTTATGTAAACATTGTTTTAATTTTAACTATATTTAACTTAATTTCGGGCGAAGACTCCACCCAAAAAACATTTTCTTCACCTTCACTGTGAAAAACTGTTGTTAGTCCATTTTTAAGGGATACATTTCGATTTACCCATAAAAATTTAAGATTTTCATCGGCGTGTCGGTAATACAGATTTCCAACTCTACTGTACTCTACTCTATTGTTTTATAGATGTCGCACTATATAAATATTTAAATCATTTTAAGATAAGATAAGTATTTGTCGTAAAAAAAGTATAGTATGCCACTTTATAAACTTTTCTAGATACTCATTTAATTAAACGCTTGTGCCTAATTAAAATTCGTGACTAAAATGGCTATCAAACTTAATACATAATATACTATTTTTGCCTCGGCCTACTATATATTATACAGTAGATATACAAGAGTGATTTTTTTAGTTCTGTTTTTCCATTCTTGATAAATCGTTTTGATCGCAACATTAAAATAAAAAAAGTTTATCTACAGGGTGTTCAAAAATTATGAAAAAATAATATCGATTCAAGAGTTTAGTTAATTTATATTTTTAGTTTTGATTTTTCAAAGAAAAGTAATTCTTGATCAAATATTTTGATTGCCAAAAAAATAAATTTCACGTGGTAAAATTTGGGATTTTAATTACAGGGTGTTAAAAATGTCTTGATTAGATTTTGTTTTCTTAACTTTTTAACACCCTGTACTTAAAATCCTAAATTTTACTACGTAAATGTTATTTTTTTGATAATCAAAACATTTATTCAAGAATGACTTTTCTTGTAAAAATTAAAAATACAAATAAAACTTTATCCTGGAAGAAATCAACTTTATAATTTCCGTCGTAATTTTTGTACGAACAATTTTTTTTATAAAAATTTTCAAGTAAATTAAAAATAAAACACAAATCGAATTCATGTTTTCCTATTTTTTAAACAAATAATTCCTATTGTAAACTTAATCCGGGGCCACACTGTATACAAAATAATAATTAATATATATTATATGTTTTAAAAATATCAAGCATCGAATGTTTTTTCAATATTTCCCGATTGTCTAAACCGTTCGAATCAATTAGATCGAACAAATGGAACAGAACACACAAGAGTGCCAAGTGTGTTTTGCAGCTCGTAATTGTTGTAGCGTGAAAACCGTCAGATGCAATGAGTGGCAATTAAAATGTTGCGTTTTATCTGGAACGTTCTGTGCACTCGCAACGACTGGGATTTGTGTGTCATTTGTCGAAACAGACGCGATGTTGCTGCTGGGATCGACCCAGTTTTAAATTTGTCACATTTTACGGCCGCTTCTGCCGCTGCGTAACATACCAAAACTCATATTGATCGGCTTAAAGCCGTAAGAAAGAGCGTTAACTGACATTTGGCATTTACCCGGCGCATTCGCCATTTTCGCAACTTTTATCTTATCGATACCCACACGATGTATTTTTATAAAATATTATTATTTTAAATTTAAATCCAGGGCCGAATTAAAACAATTTGTCGCCCTAGGCCAATAATAATGGCGCCTATAATTACAGCCCATATTAGTACCTATGATATTAATATAACACAAACCATGTTAGCCGACAGGGGACGAGTAGGGTTTTATAAAAAAATTACAATAAAATAAATAAAAAATAATTAATTTTTATATAGAAAAACAAAACAATAAAGAAGTAACTTAATTTTTTCAATTTTTAAATTACATAAAATAGAATTTTACCTATAGCATTTTGTCACTTTGACGCCTGTGGGAACAAACCCACAAAAATAAAAAAAATTGAGATAATTAACCCATTTATTCCGATATTTTTATTTTTGTGGGTTATTTCTCTTCTACCGAAAGGCGTCCAAGTGACACGACCTTTTGCATTGTCAACGACGATTTACAATTTTATTTTCCTGCATTTAAAATCGGAAAAGGACTAAAATTTATTTTATGCACGATGACATTATAATATGACAATTATAACAAAAATTCTTTGACGTAAACGTCTTTTTATAGCCCGCGGGCGTTATTATGGCCCAGCGGGCTATAATGAAGCGTCAAAAATTAAAAACAACAATGTTACACCATTTGATATATTCTAAGTAAGTTTTTTCGTATAAAGATTTTGATTTTACCGGCAGCAGGCCGCAATTTTTCGCCTTTTCAGCTGCTTCCTTAATTTCATTTATCTTTAAACTTTAAAACTGACTGATGTCAGTTGACCTTATAATATGACAATTATAACAAAAATTCTTTGACGTAAACGTCTTTAAAAACAATAATATATTAAAAATAATAATAAATTAATCGTGCATAAAGTTTTGTATGCATTGCTGGCATAACTGGTTTTTATGGTCCTACGACGCTTTTCTAGCCCTCGCGCTAACGCGCTCGGGCTCGAAATAGCGCCTCGGACCATAAAAACCTTATTATGCCCTTAATACATAAATAACTATTATCTCCACGCGGTCTATAATTTAACTGGTTTTTATGGTCCTACGACGCTTTTCTAGCCCTCGCGCTAACGCGCTCGGGCTCGAAATAGCGCCTCGGACCATAAAAACCTTATTATGCCCTTAATACATAAATAACTATTATCTCCACGCGGTCTATAATTTAAACTTTATTGTTGTCATTCGATAAAGAAATACCTTGTTATGGCCTAGGCCGATAAAAAATTTTATGAGGCAAGTAATTAGTTCGATTTTTCTCGCTAGGGGTATTGTTTTGACAAATTAATCCTTTTCTAAGAAATTAACGTACTAAACTGGTTTAATTTATTTATAATAAGCACTAATTTGTTTGTTTTACTGTTAATGATTAATATTTTTCATTAAATTATTGTAAAATTAAATATGAATAATAAAACAAAAAGTGAGGTTAGGCAACCACGAAAACGCACGATTATTTAAATTATCTTTAAGTTTTAATTTGCTTTAAGGTTTCAGTGAAATTAAATGTTAAACACAGGTAAAACATTCCGAACTACCTATTTTTTAAATAAAAATCCAAACAAATTGAAATTAGATACCTACCTATTTATTAAACAATTAATTGAATTCAATGTAATAGCAAAAATCCATTTCTACTTAAATCATGTTGCTAGGTATTGTCAAACTATTACTGCTTCTAAAAGCAATATTAATTATTGTACATTTAATGTAATCTTTAGCTAATAAATAAATGAGATTCTAAAAAAGTGAGGTTAGGATGCTTTGATGTTGAATTAAATTGACCTATATAAAGTGCTTTGAAGATAAAATGTGGTATGTCATTCGGCCAAGAAGTGCCTTTTTGTGCTTCGCTCAATTGTAGGCCTCCGCTATGCATCGGCCTTCAAACCTTGAGCTTAGCACAAAAAGCCTTACTTCTTAACCTAATGACATAAATAACTATTATTGACTTCTTCTGCTTCTATAGATAGAAGAGCTAGATTCGCAGTCTTCTCGTGTACTAGGCAACTGCGTTGAACAAAAGGTCTTTCTCCTGTACAGTTGGTAGCAGGAAGGCATAAAAAAATCCTCAAAACTATTTTCACATTGGGAAATTTTGAAGTAATGTTTTTCTCCTTAATTTGTTTTGACCATATGACTAACTTGAAGTCTTCCACATTAACCACAACTAATAAAGGGTATTACACGTTTGATAATTATAAATATTTATTTTTATTGATTAATTTTAATATTTAACCTACGTGAAAAAATTCTTCCTGGCACCTTTTGGCTTCGCCTATAGGTTAATCCAGCACTGTTTAAATCGGTATGAATCATGAACAACAAATAATAAAATCTAGTATTTCAGATGATTTATAGCAACACTAACATGTTTATCTCTCTTGTTTCAGATCACGTACCTAATTTTCGAATACAAACATTGAAGACTAAAAAAGGAATACAAATCAATGTTTAATTAACCATCACCGTTTTAAACCTATAGAAAACCCAAAAACGTAACGCATCACAATGCATATTGAAGTTCAAGTAGCGTTAAATTTCGTCATATCGTACCTGTATAACAAGTTGCCCAGACGACGGGTCAACATTTTCGGCGAGGAGCTGGAAAAAGCATTAAAAGACAAATTCCAAGGTCACTGGTACCCGGAGAAGCCGTTCAAAGGCTCGGCCTTCAGATGCCTAAAAACTGGAGACCCGATCGACAAGGTCCTCGAAAGGGCGGCCAGAGAAAGCGGCGTGCCCATCCAAGACATCTTGGAGAACCTACCTCAAGAACTGGCGGTGTGGGTGGACCCTGGCGAGGTGAGCTACAGGATCGGCGAGAAGGGAGCCGTCAAGGTGCTCTTCAGCGACAAGTCCGACCCCCAGGACGAGCATTCCGCCGATAGGGAGGTCACGAAGACCTTCAACCCCGAAGCGCAGTGCTTCAGGCCGATCGAGTCGGTCAGCTGCAGCTTGAATCAACTGAGCCTTTCGCCAAAGAACATCCCTCCGTTCCAAGGGAACCCCGTGGTGCCAGTCGTACCGCAGCATCCGCACCCTCATCAGCATCAGCACCAGCATCAGCAGCTCCCCAATCCGTTGCCTCAGCAGCAGAACGGCAACCCCGCGCAAATTCAGCAGCAGATTCAGCAGAACCACAGCATGCAGCATTTGCAGACGCATTCTACTGCTCCGTCGCCCACCCCGATGGTCAATGGGTCTTTTAAGGGATCACCGTCGCCCGTGCCCGCTTTCATACCGAGAACAACCACCCCGCTTACCTTCACCACAGCCACTTTTGCTCAAACCAAATTTGGAAGCACTAAACTTAAAACTAGCAGCAAGCGAGCCAATCGGTAAGAATTTGTATTATTACTTACTCGTATATCGATGACTTTCTGCCAAAGTATCGCAAGCAACATAACTTGAATTTCGGGAATTGAAAACATGTTTTGTTTTAAACCCGAGTCAAAATTAATATCGTAATTTAAACCTTAAGTCTGACACTTTCTGTCTTAAACGGTTTTATATTCGCCTAGATAACCAACTTATGACCTAAAACATGGCAGATAAGTCCATTTTCCCGATTTTTCGGTTCTAATTACGTTTAAATTTAAACCAAAAATTTTATTAGAGGTTTAAATCGGTTTGAATCGGTTCAAATGAAGATTAATTCGGTTGTTCTAGTGCTAAATTGGAGTAAACAGACTGAACAGGTTTTAAATCAGTTTTGGTAGGTCAAAGTAGGTTTAAATTACGATTTAAATTTTGACTCGGGTTAAACCATATACAGTGTGTCGCACTTAAGATGAAGACACCCCAATATTTTCGCTATTTGAAGGAATAAAGGTTTGAATTTTTTCACATTCATACATGTTGATGGGTCACATTTTTTAAGCTACTCAACTGAAATCTGAACTTTAAACTTGGCCTACTACAAATTCACAAACAGGGCCAGTTCTCGATATTTTGCTTCGCGTTAGAGATATCGAAAAAAGTTATTGGAAAAAGTTGTTCAGAATATTATTCTAACCCCATATATCAATTTTTATAACAAAATTCGCATTTTTATTTTTTTTATTTTGGTCCACACAAAATTATTACAAGTTCATTTTTTAGTTTGATGATAAGGGAGCCATGGAAAGTAATAATTTGATACTAACTCGTGTTTATGACCGTTGAATAAATAATTAAAACAATTTTTGGAAATTACAAATCAATTATAATTTATTAAATTAAGGAAATGGTATAAAACAATAATAAAACTAATAAAAATAAATAAATTAGAAATGCGAATTTTGCTATGAAAATCGGTTTACGAGGTTAGAATAATATTCTGAACAACTTTTTCTAATAATTTTTTTCGATATTTCTAACGCGAAGCAAAATATCGACAACTGGCCCCGTTTGTGAATTCGTAGTAGGCCAAGTTTAAAGTTCAGATTTCAGTTGAGTATCTTAAAAAATGTGACCCACCAACATGTATGAATGTGAAAAAATTCAAATCTCTATTCCTTGAAATAGCGAAAATATGGAGGTGTCTTCATCTTAAATGCGACACACTGTATAACCTATAGGTTTTATAACTAGTATATAGCTATAATTATAAGCTAAGTAATTACTTATTATAAAACCTTTAGGCTATATTTATTTTAAAACAGACAACCAAAATGTTTTCAATTCCTAAAATTTGGGTTATGTTTCTTGCGATACTTTGGCAAGAAGTCATCGATATGTATAAAAAAATATATAAAATATAAAAGGGGTCATTAAATTAAACGATTCTTTATAAAAAGAGCTTAGTAAAAATACTCGAACAACGTAAAATTTCAGTTTATTCAATGATTTAATTTATTTACCTTCGTTTGCAAAATATTTATTTGCGGTTTTGTATGCAAAAATGGTTTTTTACGATGATAAATATTTATATTTTTTATGAAGGAAAAACCAAATGAGTGTAAAATTGTAACATATTTCAAATATTATTTTATTGCTTATGCAGTAGTTTCTGAAAAATTATTTAAAATAAAATATCGATTTGTTTACTCACATCTTCGGAAAGCAATTCAGAAATTTCCCATACGTATTGGAACCCATTTATGGCATATAAAATATTATATAACATAAAATAAAAAGTAAACATGACATTTTTATTAATTTTGGTAAAAATATTATTTATCAGGAAAGACGTAAACAATCATTAGTTCATTTAAATTTAAAATTTCATTTTTAATTGTTATGCAAATAATAATAACTTATCAACATAATTCTAGAAAGCAACTTAAATGGAACATTTTGATATTAAATAAATATTATTCAATAATCAAAATTTTAAATCTATTTTAATCCCGTACTAAGCCCACTGAATATTTTTTGTACTCTTTTGTATTCAAAATAACCACACCTATGATCCGATTTAATATGTTTAAGATACATATTTCAAAAAATACCTTTTTTTAATTTTCTTCATACACAGTAAAAAAAATATTTTTTAATTTTAACAAATATTAACCAGATTTTATGTTAATCCAGGTCCACATAACTTTATGTTAAGTTTACATCCTACCTTAATCTGTTAAATAATTGAACTAGGTACTTGTTTGTAATTATAACAAATATTTTGTAGATTTAATAACAAAATCCTATGTCAATAATTCAACCATAATTCTAGTAACTTTCAAAAAGGGCCTTTTTGTAGACCCAGTAACAAAAGTATTTGTTGTAAATTGGGAATTTAAATGAAAAAATTGATAAAAAATGTTGCTTTATTAATCATTTTCCTCACCAACAAAATTAACACATACCAACATAAATAACACAAAAATAACGCACAATTAAATAACATACCATTCTGAAATCATCAAATTATAAAGAAATTTGGTACAATTCAACTATCAGTACTAGGTACTACAACTGATGTATTTCGTAACTTTAACCTACTTCACTGTATCCCCTAATTTCAGTTTAAAAACTTTGCCCACTAGTTAAATAGGAATAAGGAATCCGAACAACAATAATAATAATAGATTTTTGGTAATATACTGTTATTATAAACACTATATACTATTACTAATATTAATTAATTAATATTACTATTACTAATATACTATTATTATAAACACTCTACAGTTGTTACGAACACGTTACGAATCAGAATAAAGTAAGCAAGAACATAATATGTTGCAGTTGCAGGAACATATTATGTTGCAGACGCGGAAGTCAGTTGAACTTGTTGATGCGTATTGTCAGTGGGAAATGTTTTGATTGACTGCCTGAAGTCACGTGTATTTTATAATAATCTGTAACCTTTAAAATTAACAAAATGCTTACAAAACTGCATATTACCTTTACAAAACTTTCGGTAAAATATTTTCCTTTGTTAAAATAATTACAAACACTGGTCTACAAAAAATTATGTTAAAATTTTACAAAATAAAATTAACAAAATACAATGTCATGTTAACAAATTTAATTTTTATATAAGTGTATGTTAGAAAAAAATATGTTTTCTTAGATATAGGGGTCCTCCATAAAGTACTTGTGTAACTTCTTACTCTCTTAAAATGAATTAGTCAAAAATAACTAATTATAATTTATATTTGACTAATTATCATAGCGAAAAAGCAGTCACTAATAATTAGTAAAATTCTACAGAATGAGATAGTCAAATTAGTAGATTTAAATTTTAAAAAAACTTTTGACCCAGCCGGGGATTGAACTTGTCAAGATTGTCAAGCTGTTGTCATAACCCATTCGGCTATCAGCCGCTCTTATAAAAATCAATTTTATTTGTCAATAAATATTGTTCATAATATTTTAAAGTTTAATATATTATTTGTGTTGCTGTTTTGAGCTAAAATGTTTGCATCTTTATTTGTTTGTATGGGTCATTTAACCATGGAGCTTAGGTATATGCGTTTAATTCAAATAATATTTGTTGTTGGCCGCAAACGATTAATGAAATTAGTTACTTTTAATTCTCAGAAATAGTCAAAGATGGTGACCAATCTTAAATTAGTCAAACTTTAACTATTTACTATTTAGAGAGTAATGTTATTAAATATTTAAGCAAATTTTCTTTATTTCAGAATGTCTCCAACAGAATTCTCCAACTACATAAAGCAGCGGGCCATGCAGCAGCAGCTGCACCAGGCCCCCCCGCACCACTCCCCCGGCGGCGGCCGCGCCCTCACTCCCGACTCATCGGCGTACTATTTCCCCCCGCAAGGACCCTACGCGCCCCAGTTCCCCCCGCGCTCCGTGTATGAGTCTTCCAATCAGTTCCTGAGCCCCGAGTTGTATTCCGCCAACACTCCACTAGCCCCGTTCTACCCCAACAATGCGACCGTGGCGCCGCAAAGCGCCCCAACCACGCCCCAAGACAACACCGGCAAGCTGTTGGACAGCAACTGGCCCTACCAACCCGCCGGACAGTACCAACATCTGCTTGTCGCTAACTGAGGGTCATAGATTTCTGTAGATACGAATTGCTAGTAATTTTACTCTTTTGAATTTAAATGTTTGACGTATTTAGTTTGTAGTACCTACAAGGTCGCCAGGAGATCTTTAAAAGAGAAACCTAAGTTCTGGAGATTGAATTGATCCATAGTTGATCGACAGAAGATGAATAAAAATATAGTAAGAACCTTTGATTCAACAAAATTGATTAACTTTTTAGCGAATCAAGGAGTTTGACAATTTAAAATTTGATCAACTCCATTGAATCAAAAATTCTTATTATTAAAATTAAAATGTCAGTTGTAGCCCTCCAGTTGTGATGCGTATGGTATATCATGGTACCCTCCTTCATTAACTTAATATACATGAAAGAAACTCAAAAAGCCATACAATAATTTCTAGAATTATTTTCTTTTAGTAGAAGAGTGGTCACCTTGTATCTTCTCCAGGTTTTTCTGTGCTTATTGCAATCTTGCAAATACATCACTTTAACATAATAAAAAGTTTGTGGATTGCCCCACGTTAAAGGGAAAAATAAAGTTTTTAACTGTGAATTGTAGATAAAATGATTTTTATTTGCGGCCACCCATAAATTCGAATCTGGTGGTTGTAAGTGAAAAACTTCGTAGTCGTCTAGATGTGTAACTATGATCTAATAAAATAATAAAAATCTATGAAACCTTGTCTGGTACAGGGTTCGAACCTAAAATTAGTTTTTAGCTCAAATTATATACATTTTTTATACTTTTTTACTTTTGTTTTAAGTTTAGTGTAAATAATTAAGGTAGATTGATCTCTATTTTTTTAACTATACAAATGTAAAAATAATTTTATTTATTGATAATTAAAAAAACATCTCATTCGGCATAGAAACCGCGAAGATTACGGTGAAATGTTTAATTTTTAAAGAGTAAAATTGCTAACCTAATAATAATCCACATAAATTATTATTATTATTATACTATATATTATCTTATATATTATAAGAAAATCAGATCCCAGCTTGATTGATTGATACTTGATAGATTTTTTTTAAATCGTAGTCATATAGGTGTTTCTTACTTACTTTGTATATGGTGTTACAGTATTCAAGTAGATTAGCGTGTTTTCCGAAATTTTTTATATCGTATGTATTTTTTTATTTTTGTATAAAAGCTCAAGCTGTCGACATCTAGTCCCAGAGATTATTAATGTGTATATTCAATAAGTGTTTGGCATATCATTTTGGATCGATACTAACTAACCACGTTTACACAATTACTTTCAACCGTGACATCCAGAGGACTGGAAAAAACCAACTCTATCAAATATTCTGTTGTGTTGGTATGTAAAAATCCTATACTATGCAATAAATGATGTGTGAATTGAACTGTAATGTGATATATTTAGACAGTTGTTCTGTCAAACTGTATTTAATTTAAATAATTGTAGATACCGGTAGACGTACGGTCCTAGGTAATTGTGTAAACTGGGCAAAACTTGTCCATTCAGTAATTTGCATGTTGTATCCAATAAGAAGAAATATAAAAACCAATAAGAAAGTGGGTCCTAGATGCTTCCTTTTCTCAAGATTTGAGATAGATAATGTGCTATTTTGTAATGCTTGAATTTTTTGTTACTTTTTCACTGATGTTTATTTTTTATTTGTATAAATTGTTGACTTTAATATAATATATATTTTGTTATGAGCCATAGTTTGATTAAAATGTGTTATTTTATGTCTATGTACCTGACATTGTTATATATCATTGTAATAGATCAACGGCTATTATGAAATCTACAGGGTGTGTCATGTCATGTTTTCATCCCTTGAGGGGTTGATAGTTCACTCCAACAGCTTACAAGTTGGTTAGGTCATGGCTTAAACGAAACCAGTGAATGCCAAATAAAAACCCAAGAATTTCGTTAATTTTCATAATTTTGTTATTAAAAAACAGTAGCACTAATGCAAAAGTGACTTTGGCGTGAACTATCATCCCCTAAAGCCATGACAACGTATTACATGAAACTCTGTATAGCTAATGTGTTAAATGTAAATAGAATCATTTCTCAACGAAAAATCAAAATTACCAAAGGAAACGCTTATTTCGTCCCGACGTTTACATTTTGACTAATTAAATCTAAATTTACTGCTTGAAATGGTAACGCAAAAATGTTATAGGAAAAATCGTTAAAATGTAAATCGGAGGAACATAAACAAATCTTTGAAAATTTTCCAAAAATTTTCAAAATTGTGATTGTCATTGCTTTAGTATGATAGTGATACCAAAAAACACGCAGAAAGGAATTTTGAATGAGTCTTACACCGTAATCTATTTTAAAAACAATTCAAAGGTCTGCCTTAAGGGACCTTATTAAGAGCAATTTTGTTTTCCATTTTTATAAAACAATATATCTAAGTTTAGAAACGTATTGTGTTTAAAATAAATTAGAGTGTATATAGTAGGGTGGTCATTTTTTAGGCAAATCTAAAAGTTAAAAGAAAATCGGAGTGAAATTAACACTTTGCTTGAAGCGACTGAATGTTATATAATAATATAATAAATAATAATATATAATCTGATTTTTCTGAACTTTTTTTCTTCTGAAAGCTTGATTAATATGCCACTAAGGCCTGTTTGCACCATTCAACTTAAACTCGTTAAGTTTCACTTAATTCGTGTGTAAGGGTGTCTAAAACTCAGTTTATTAATCTGGCAGATATCTTTCATGGATTGTTTTTATTATTTTTCACGTTTGTAAAAATCAATAGAAACTTTAAATTTCAAAATAATTCTCCAGATTTTTTTTCAAACCTGCTACCAGATTTAAGATAACTTGTACGGCCATAATACTAAGTTTTAGTAATTTTTCCCAAAAATTGTAATTACCGTTTAAAACTTTAGTCGCTCAGGGGCCGTGTACGATTTTCTACTAATTTATAGGAATTTTGGCTAATTTTACGACTAAATAAGGACTAATTCCTAATATGTAGTCCTCGAGACTTTAAAGCAAAATGAAAACCTTAACCAGGATATAAGTGGATCATCTAATAATATCGAATAGAGAATTTATTTTACTATATTTAATAAGCACAACTTATAATTTAAATAGTAAAATTGGGATACATTATAATTCACTTAAAAGTTACTAGTTAGATTTTCCCTCCACGTGATATAAACTATTTTTTTAAGCTTCAGACATTGGAGAAAGCGCCTCGAACTTTCAGATACGGGATAAATGTCTGCCTTTTTAAAATAAATAAAAAAGTTGTAGACAAGTCAACGGTATAAGTGTTACCTGTGAAGAAACTAGTTTGGTAAGGTATTATTTTATAAAATTTACTAATGATTAAAACCTAAACAAGAACAAATAATAACTAAAATTGAGTATAAAAATAATACCTTAGTAAAACCTAGTCGCAAGCTACACAATGTACATGATTTATATTAGATATTACTCAATTATTTTATATACTTGCTTGTAAGTATTTGCATTTTACCTAAGATTTGTAAATAATCCAAGTTAAATGTTTATATTTCAGTGTAAAACTCTTGTATTCATATATACACTACTCTAGTAGTTAAATTTAATGCCAAATTTTACTGGCAATAACAATTGGTTACAACATATTTTAATTAAAATAAACCGGTATCAAGGATCCAAAAACTACAACTGTTCCCTTTATTTTTAGACATACCCCTGATCCAACTCACGTGGGAGATTCCGTGAGACATACTTTGGATATTTTGGGTTCATTTTAAATTTTAGTGATTTAAATGTGCCATAAATATCCGAAATAAAAACAAATTTAAAAACCTATTGACAAAAGGGAATTCACGTAAAAGGGTTACGACTTTTCTCTTTTTACTCCTGTAACCAGTTGTTTTTCTAAAAAGTTATTATATGTAGGGACTGAAGCCCAAAGAAAATGTGATGGCTCTTTTTTTACTATCGGTAGTGATTTAGAGTAAGGACAAGTAGACTCCGGTAAGAATTTTTAACGAAACTTTTTCACTAAATTTGAGCTAGTTTTATTTAAATTAACTAAGCATCCTTTTAAGAACAATTTAATATTTATTTATTTTATTTTTATAAATGTTCAAAGTTAAAAAACCATTTCTTATCTTAATTTAGTATTACAAGTACGCATCCACATTTACTTAACCCTACATGATTTATTAAATACATTACATCAAAACTTAAATGTTCTTAATAAGGATGTTGTTGCCTGGACAAGGCCTATTTATACATGTTTGTCACTATCAGTGTTAGAACGTTAAAAAAATTCTCTTAATAAACTTATATTTGTGACTAAATTGTAGTTATTTATCTATATTTAATAATATAGGTAGTGGAAAACGGATTTTTCCATCCTGTCATAAATAAATAAGTAATATGTGTAATATAGTCTATAATTTTTCATATTGTTGTACGATTTTTAAGTTTATATTAAAATGTTTGTGCATTGATTACGTAATGTGTTTTACTTTTTTACCTTCTAATAAAATAATATTGTAATTCAAACTAAATTTCTTTTCTTTATATCCTTTTATCCGTATTAACTGCATTTGGTAGGTCCAAAAAATAAACTTTTAAAATATTTTGTCTATACCAAATTTCTCATGTCTATGACATCTTAATAAGTAGTAGGTACACATTTTTTAAATCGGCACACAGTGGGCTAGAAAGTCGATTTAACTAGGAAAAATTATTTGTATAAGTAATTATTAGTTAATATTAATTTTTTTGGTCTAATTGATAACATTTTAATATAAAAATAAAATTTTAATGAGTAGGTATATTACAAAAATATAACTGAACATTTATAAAAATATATAATATATAATAAGTAACTATCAGTAACCATGCATACTCTCTAAAAATGAATTAGTCAAAAAGGACTAATTACTACAGTTATTAGTGGCTGCTTTTTCACTTGTACCATGGTTAACAGCCAATTCTTATATAAAATTGTCCTCTAAATCCGAAAACACCGTCAAAAATGATGAAAGTAGAGCAGTTTTTGAGATATAGTCAATTCCATATTAAATGGAAAATTGACTATATCTCAAAATCTGTTCTACTTTTTTAACAGTTAAAGTTACTTTTGACGACATTTTCAGATTCAGGGGACAATAATTATTTTACATGGAAATTGACTGCTAAATGTTCGGGATACAAATTGCTATCGACGAGAATTATAAGTGGCTGCTTTTTCGCTGACAATTAGTCATTTTTGACTAATTCATTTTTAGAGAGAAGTTATAAATAAAGTGGAATATGTTACCCTAGGTATGTTACTGTGTTTCGGTTTGTCAAATAGAGTTTGATAGATGTTAGACAGTCAGTTTGTAAAAAGTAAACATGTTATTTTCCGTGCTTTGGCAACTTAATAATAATTGCCTTTAAATTTCGCGCTTCGAAACGGTGCTGGGTAAAATTATTGATATTTTCTGATTTAATGTGATAATTCAAAATTATTCGTTGTTATAACAATATATCATTAACTTTTTAATTGATGGTTCCCATCACCAAAGTATGACTAAATACTGTCATACAATGATATTTCTTCTGGAAAAATTTAGAATTAAGTTTTTTTCGAGATACAAATATTTTTGTGAATGCTTAATCTACTAAGTAATCTAAAACTAGATTGAAATGCTTCAAACTAAACCAATTTTCACATAACTCCTTATGAGTTAAGGATAATATCATTATTACATAGGTATGTAATAACTGAAAAAATATTTGTGGCGCATATGTACCTATAGTATATACTAGTATATACTAGCACGTTATTTTAGATATATTTAAAAGACAGAACGGTGAGCTATTAAAAACACTAAAACAGAATAAGAATGCGTGACATTTTTTAAAACCTTAGTAATGTCTATAGGTACATACATTAAAAATATTCAGCAGTTATTTTATTGACGTAGGGACAGTACAATAATTATAAAAACTTATCATTGTTTGTTCGAGCCATAAAGTATGACAGTATTTAATACAATAATATTTTAAAAGTAAGAATAAATTACTAATAAACATTGTAATAAAATCTTAAACTTTGACTGGTTACCTAATAAAAATTGAACAGATTTGAAGGTGATTTAAAGTTGTTTCATTTTCTACAGACATTGAAGAAATTAAAAATCCTTAAATTTTGTCGAAATAAAACACTTTTAAATTTTGAATTTCCGCACCAAATTTGAGCTCTTAATATTAATAGGAAGATCCTCCTTATCACAGTTTTACATTTTTTCTTTAGTCCCTTATAAAAAAGACCATATTTCATCATTAATCAATCGTTTAACGCTCTACAAAAAAGGTCTGATGTGTTTAATTGATTATACTCTAACCGTTGAGAGGATATTCGTATCAGTACGCTAGGGATTCGGATACAAATATCTTCTCAACGGTTAGAGTAATCAATTAAACACACCTTTTTTGTAGAGCGTTACATTTCCTTCAAAAATATGTCATACCCATTTGACAATAATTATTTTTTACAAAATTATTTAAAAAAATATTCTTCAAACTTTGATCTTCAATATCTTTTAAATGGTTAGATTAATCGCTTAAACACATCATTCATTTTTTGTATAGCATTCAATTTCCTACAAAAATATTTATAAAGATTTGATTAAACGATTGATTAATAATGAAATATGGTCTTTTTTATAAGGGGCTGTATGAGCTCAAATTTGCACTTTCTAGAGGTGCCTAAGAACCAATTTATCAGTGTCGGAAGCAAAAAAAAAATATTTTTTTGAATCACCCTAATATATACTAATTAATATATACTCATTTAGCTGCCGTTTTTAACGTGTAGATAATGTTTAAGAGACCCTAGACTATATAGAAGAAGCCAAATTGCCACGACGTATAACAATTTCGAAACGCTTAGACCCTGAATAAAAAAATAATGAAAACCATGTTTTTCAGACTGCCGAAAATATGTAGGTACCTATATATAGGTCTATAGACATTTTTTTTATGAAGTTTACGATGAATTTCTTTCATCATTAAAATGCCGCTTTGGAACAACTTCAGCAAATTTTTTTAGATCTCTTGAAGCTTTTGTGCTCAACGAAAATTCAACTTTGGAACAACTTCAGCGAATTTTTTTAGATCTCTTAAAGCTTTTGTGCTCAGCAAAAATGGCCATGTAGATGAAATTATCCTATTCTATAAAGATGATTTTAATAAACATTCTTTAATTAGCGATAGACATTTTTCTCGATTTGGCTCGCAGAAGTAAATTTGAATTAAAAAAGGTCGTGGATTTTTTAGGAAAAAATACATGGGCCAAGGCATAGACAAGGGATTGGTTGGGTGGGCGGGGGCCTTTTCCCTGAATTGTTACAATATGTTCGATAACTAATTACGATTCCAGCTTCTTCTTGCTCAAACGAGAGGAGTTTTGCAACCTTTAAAATATTAAAATGTTACGTGTGAAATACGATGGGACAAAAACGTTTGAATAATGTTGCAATATTACATATTTACCACAAGTTGGCAGACAAAATAGATTTAGAAATTCTGATGGACGAATTTATATCAAGAAATGCGAAACGAACCAATGTGTTTCCTTTGTCAAAAGATCTTTTGTAAGACGTTTTCGGAATAAAAATATTGTAGGTAATATATACACACATCAACAAAGTCTAGGGATAATCGTGAAAATTTGCAATGAAACAATTATTTTTGTAAAGAAACTCTCACTTTTTTTATGTGATATTCTCACATATATATTTTTTCCATTTTTGAATGAAAAGTCATAAAAATATGCAATGAAATTAAAATAGCTTTATTAAACAATGAAGTGAAAATAACAAAAAAAATCAAACTTTATTATAAAGGCAAAAATAATGTCAATAAGTGGTGTGACCTCCTCTACTATTCACCACAGCTCTGCACCGTCTGTTCATACTCAAAATTAATGCATCAATTGCCTCCTGGTCAATTGCGGCCCATTCCCTTTGTAAACTTAAAATGAGCTCTTGACGATTATTAAAAAAAAGATTTCTACGCATAACCCGCCTTTGTAACATGTCCCACAGATGCTCTATCGGATTTAAGTCCGGGGATTGTGCTGGCCATGGAAGAACGTCGATATTTTCTTCATCTAAGAAATCACTTATTATTCGTGCACTGTGTGGGGTGGCATTGTCGTGCATGAAAATGAATCTTGGACCAACAGCTGCAGCATAGGGAATCACGAAGGGTTGAAGGATAACATCTCGATAAGAAATTGAGTTTAAAAATCCCTGAAGTGGAATGAGATCACTTCTTCCTCCAACGCTGATGCCACCCCACACCATAACAGTTCCACCACGGTAAGTATGGACCTCTTGAGCAGTTTCTAGCCGTGCTGCTGGTCCGGGACATCGCCATACCCTCGTTCTTCTTGAGTCTGGATGCAGGCCAAACCGAGATTCATCACTAAACAAAACTGTGGACCATTGTTCATCAGACCAATTTAAGTGCTCCTGGGCCCACAAAAGTCTAGCTACTCGATTTCCAGCGGACAAAGGGGGAACCCTGAGAGGGCGTCTAGCATGAAGATTTCTTTCATGTAATCGTCTTCTGATGGTCTGAGCACTCACAGTCACATTATGTGACAATTGCAACTCAGCAACCAACTCAGATGCAGTTTGAGATCGGTTTCTTCTGGCCTGCAGAACAATAAAGCGGTCTTGATTTGCCGTTGTAAGCCTTCCTCGGCCTGGATGTCTTTCATTCACACTGTTGGTCTCTCGATAGCGTTGACACAATCTGTTTATCACGCTTTGTGATGTTTCTAGCTGAGCGGCAACTGCTTGTTGGGTTGCACCCGCTTCAATCATCCCAATAGCTCTTAACATTTCTTCATTCGTTAAATGTCTTTTCGCCATGGTTTTGCAAACTCAACTGAATATTTTTATCAGCAGAGTGTAAGTTTTCTGGCGTTTTTGTTTGCAGTTTTTATATAGACCACTACCTTCGAATTTAGTATACAACTTTTTTGTTGAATATTTTTTTAACAAATAATTAAAAAACAAAATATTACTATAACAAATGATTAAAATACATGTGAGAATATCCTACAAAAAAATAAGAGTTTTTTTGATAAAAATAATTGTTTTATAGCAAATTTTCACGATTATCCCTAGACTTTGTTGATGTGTGTATTATAATGCTTTTGTTTTGGGTACACTAAACAACACTTTAATTTATTGCCATTGCTTGAAATTACTTATTTTTCAAAGGTCCCTCTAATGGAGCGTTTAAGTATTACTTAAGCACACTTTACATGATTTTAGTCACGTGGTGGGAGTCCCACCGTGGGACTGATATGTGGAGCATGGTACCTATTTTTTTATAGCTGTATTTTTTTAAAGAATCGTATCAACCAATGGACGTTTGAAATAAAATAAATATGTAGATAATGCAAAAAAAAGAAAATTGCAGTGGGCTGAAACACGTTGTGCATTCGCAAAATATAGAATTTATAACTAAAAAACTATCCCAAAAAAATGGCACCGGTTCACTTGATTTCCCGCGCCGGTCTGGCATGCCCCATCCGCCCCTAATGCTATATAGTATTTAATTTTAATATTTAAATTATTTACAAATTATTTTAATAAAAAAATGTATTTTACGACACGGCAATGTAATTTACCAGCAAATTCCCTCTGATAAATTCCCGAAAAAAAATAATTCCCAATTTTGAAATGGTAAAATTTCTTATAATACAAAACGTTTATTTGTACAAAACATTGTATATTCAATACATATGTAAGATTACTGGTTGACTGTTAATTTAAGCAGCTCTTCTTTAGCATCGTGCTCTATTTCGTTCAATCTACGTTTTGCTTCTATAGTAATATGTTTTAATTCCTCTTGCACAAACTCATTAACCTCCCTTTCATTTACCTCTTTTACTTGTTTAACAATAGATTTTGAATCAAGAGGCCGCACCAATGGAATATTTATTTTATTAACTTCAGTACTTTTTAGATCACTTTTTTTAGCATTGCTTATTTGTTTTTCAAACTCTCTGATGGTTGATCTTATTTTATTAAGTTCTTTTAATTCTTCTCTATGTATACTTTTGGTATCCAAAACGTCTTGTTTTAAATCTTTAGTTTCTTTTTCTTTATTTGTTCTTTCTTCAATTACTGTTTTGGTAATATCATTTATTTCCTCATGAGTTACAGATATGTGATTGCCTAAATCTTTTAATTCAAAAATATGTTTTTCAAAATTAGTATTTACTTTATTTACATTTGCTTCGTATACTTCCTCGTGCGTTACAGAAAGTTGATTCGAAAAATCTATTGTATCAAAAATTTGTTTTTTAAGATTTATATCTTTTTTTTCGGTGTCACTAATATTGCCAATTTCGTCATGATTTACTGATACAGGTTTTGCAATATTAATAATTTCATTTATTTTCTCTTGAATATTTTCATTTAAAACGGGATTTTCATATGGTTTATTATTATTTTCGTTTATTTTCTGACGGATATTTGCATCCAAATCTTCTATTTCTTTATTATTTTCGTATATTTTTTCATAAATATTTTTATTATCCAAAACAGCATTTTCATCTAGTTCCTTTTTATTATTTTTGTTTATTACCTCATCAATATTTTTATTATCCATAGCAGAATTTTCAAAATCTATACTATTAACTACTTCGTCCAGATAATCTCTGACACTCGCTGCATCTGCTTTATCACAGAAACTTTCTTTCTTTATTTTATCAAAGCCAGAACAACAGTTTATAATTTGAGAATTGCAACGCTTTTTCCAATCTGATTGCTTTTCTTTACGCTTGTGATAAATTTTGGCAACTTGTAGGATTTTGAACTTTCCGTTTTCTGCTTCACTCTTAATCCTATCAATCGCTCGTCGTGTCCTCTCAGTTATTTTTGATTCCAGATTACTATCGGCCATTTTTAACAAGACATTTAGAATATTTTTATTTTTGATTGACAATGACAATGTTCATAACCCAATTTATTTTTCAAGCACGGGCATCATTGGCATTTAGTCTTGCATGTATTGTAAATTTTTTAGTTCAGTATGTATTCTTTATAATGCTTGAAGCATTATGCTTTATATTAAAATACATATATTTATAAAATGTTTCAACCGCGTTAAGTTTGAATTAAACATATCTGTCTCATAAATAGAAAATCAACATACTTATTTAGTCTTGCATGTAGAGATGCGACTTGAAAAAAAACGGTCCGTTTTTTCATTGTTTTTTTCAAATGGTTTTTTTTCATATTTTAGGTTTTTTTTCAAGATTAGTCCCATTTGCCTAATTTTTTATGTTTCCATGGACTAAAATTAGCCACTAAATCACAATTAGTAAATGTAAACACAGTCTCGCGCTATGCACGCGCCACCACCACCGAATGGACCAATAAGGGCCGCGCTTGTTTTGATTGGTCCTAAAAAAAGTAACTACATATATTTTTGATTCAGCGCGTGATTTTTCAAAAAGCTACCAAAAGCACTTTTTTCATGATTTTTCAAATTTATGTAGAGTATGGAAATTTTTTTTTCCAAAAAAACAATAGCAAATTCTTGTAGAACATTTATTCATTGGTGGTCAGAACATTCCGTGGACCAAAAAAGAAAGCAAAACGATTTTTTTATTAGGGTATTTGTTAGAATTGAGCGTTGCACGTTTATCATCTAAAAATCTCAAATATAAACTTCAAGCTTCAAATTGCTTTTTTTACGACTCCAATACGACCATTTTTAACAAAGATACAGCTATCCGAAAAATTGCAAAAACAATTTTTTATCCTTTAATTTTTTGTATTAGTGTAGAAGTTTTACATTTCTATTGGTTTTTAATGTGGAAACTACCAAATAATAAGAAATCAGATTTTTTTAGTCTAGGTCAAAATTTTCAATAATGAAAAATGTAATATATTCTACAATTTACTCAAAATTTTATTTTGAAAAAAAACAAAAAAAACCGTTTTTTTCTAGGTTTTTTTCATGTTTTTTTCACATCTGAAAAAAACCGTTTTTTTTACATCTCTACTTGCATGTATTGTAAATTTTTTAGTTTAGTATGTATGTATACTTTATAATGCTCGAGGCATTATGCTTTATATTAAAATACATATATTTAAAAAATGTTTCAACCGCGTTTAGTTTGAATTATACATATCTGTCTCATAAACACACAATATACTTATTGTAAGTACATAACCAAGTGTATCTCATTTACTATAAAATTTAATAATACCATCCGAAATATATGTAAAAAGTTAAAAGGACCATTTTAAATAAAATAAAATATTATTAAAAAAAAGTTTATTATTAAAGTATGTATGCACATATAAGTGTATATCCGGTAAAATTATATATAGATTTGCAAACGTACAAAACTAAATAAATTTTGAGAATATGACATATACAACAAAATAACTAATATTTCTATTTTATTCTTAGACTAAGATATTTAACAAAGTTTAGCTTTAAGGTGCCTATTTTAAATTTAAGAAAATATATGTTTGGTTCGATTATTATTAAATAAAACATGCCTACATATTTCTTTTAAAAACATTTCAACGTAAAAATGTAGGCACAAAACATACATTATTAAAAAATACAACAGAAAAATATAGGTACTACTTAACAAGTTATAATAGGTAATATACTTAATATAATATTCGTCAGAATGGATGCGCATTAATGGTATGCGCTCTAAGATCCTTTGGTAAGTCAAAACCCATGTTACAAATGGAACAAGAAAACATTGCATTCCCTGCATTGTTAGCTTGATTGTTTTTGTTTTTCTCGTGTACTTTTATATGAATGCTTAAAGCGTTTTGTTTCTCAAACACCCTGTCACAGTAATTACATATAAACTCAGTTGGCATAAGTTCCTTATGCTTTTGCCTCACATGGACATTCATAGTATCCTGTTTGGAAAAGGCTAAAGGACAATAACGGCAATGGAAATTCTTTAAAGGCTTAACCGGCAATTTCTTAGTTATAGTAGTAACCGGTTCAACCTTAATCGTTTCATTGTGTTTCTTTTGCCTTTCCAATAGATCGTGAAGCCTCTTGTGAGTCTCATACTCGTCCTGGCTGTTGAAGTCCTGGTTGCAGGTGTGACACCTGGGTACCAACATAATAGCGTCAATGTTCCTGTGTTTTTCCAAGATGTGAATCTGTAACGCCGTATCGTTCGGCAACTCTTGTAAACAAGTGGTGCACTGGAACTCTGGCGGGGTTCTTTTTTGTTCTTTTTGTTTACTAACAGTTGCAGTGGCCAATTTCTCAATGACTTTGTTTTGTTTCACGAGTTTTGTGGGTTTTAGTACTGCTTTGGCGTTTGGTTGCCGACTATGCCAGCCCAAGTGAGCCGTTAAACCGCCAGCATTATCGTAGCTCTTTCCACAAATAGAACAAGCAAAATTTTTCGTATCCTTAGTTTTGGGTACTTTAGTTTTCAGTTTTTCATCGTGTTCCTCTCTCATATGACTCGCCAACTTGGTTACTGTGTCAAACGAGATTTTGCAGTGCCTACAGTGTACCTTGGATGTTGCTTTGTATATGGTTGTCTCAGATTTGTGGGTGTCTTTGTGTTTTTTCAAACCGTTTTTGGTTGTAAATGTCATGACACAGATGTCGCAGGTAAATATGAACGGTATTTTGGCGTCCAAATTATCAATTTCGCTTTCCAAATCCGGCATTTCTTCGTCAATAGAATGTTCATCTTCCTTATGTTTACGCAGTGCCTCTTGGTTGTTGCATGATAAATGACAAAAATCGCACCAAACCTTTTTGGAAATCTTGGATTTGCCAGCATGACTTATACCGTGGCATTTCATGTGATTTTTGAGATTTGATCTGTTAGCAAACACTTTAAAGCACTTTTTGCAAGTGTGGTAGTCTTCGTCCTCATCATCTGCAACTTTCTTTTTTTCTTTATTATCAATATTTGGTGTAGCAGGCTTCAGTAATGGCGGTCTATTTTGATTGTTCTCGGCCATATGGTTCATTCTATCGTGCATTGCTTTGTGGGTATTGTATGCAGCACCCGTTGTGCATACTTTATCACAAATTTTGCACTTCTTTGGGTATGCACTGGAATTTGGTTTTATATGAGGGTGTTTCCTTTTATTGTGGTCCCACAAGCCGCTGTAGCCTTGGTAATGTTTGTCACATTCCAAGCAACTAAATTTGCTTTTTTTGACTTCTACATCAGATACTAAAGTTTCAGGTTCATCCAGGGGTTCTTCTTTGGTTACAAAATCGTGTACTTGCAGCTTGTGAATCTTTAATTCATCTTTCGACGTGAATGTTTCATCGCACACCTCGCACATCATTATAATAGGTGTTTCCTGGTTGGGGCTAAGCATTGTACTTCTGTAAGAATGCGTTTTGGAATCTCTCGAGATCTTCAAGTTCAAATGCACACTTCTATGCTGCTCCAGTTCGGTGTTAAATTGGAATACTTTACCACATTCCCCACAAGATTTAGTCTCGTGATTTTCAGCCAAGTGTGTTTGCCATTCGGTGGCAGAAAACATTCCTCCACAATCAGGGCATGAATAAATTGAAGTGTCCTTCCCAACTTCGATGGAGTTTATTGGTTTCTGTTCATTGTGAGTCTTCCAGTGACGAAGCATGTTATGATATGAGGAATATTCTTTAAAGCATATCGGACACAAGCCAGGCCTGTCATTATTTAAAGGTGGTGCGTTGGGAATGGATTTTCTCTTCTTTGTTTCTCTTGGCTCTTCCGGTTCCATCATATCCTTCACAGATTTGTTGTAGAAGGAGCTACGCCTTTTACCGGAAACCACAAGTACTTCGGCCTCTTTGGTTTCCTTAACTACCTTTTCTTTGACTGGCAGAGATTTCCGTTTATAACCGTCATCTTGCAGTAAAATGAACCCTTCCGAATTGTCGTGTTTATCCTGAGCGTGCTTAACAAACCCGTCCAGACTTTTAACAGTCACAAAACATATATCGCAGTAGTACTGCACCAAACAACTCACATAAACGTGATCTTTGTATTCGTCCAAGTTTTCGAAAGTTCGGGAGCACGAACATACATACGGTGCTTCGTTGGTGTGAGCTTCGTCCACGTGTTTGCAGAATTCTTCGTGAAAACTGTACATAAACTTGCATTCCGTGCACTTGTAGTTTTGGTATAGACGTGTTTTAACTGTGCTGCGTTTTTTAAGGTTGGAAAGACTTGTGATCGCCTCCAACGGCGTTTTCTTACAAATAACCATGTGTTTGGTAAACGCCGATCTGTCGGTGAATGTAATCATACAATTGTAGCAAGTAAAAACTGGAAACCATATTCGCAAAGCTCTTAGATGCGATAAAAGTCCTTTAATGTTAGTGTGGAACGCGTTGTGACATGCGCAGATTAAAGTATTGTGCATTGTGACCATGGCTTTGCACTTTTCTATGTAGCTCATTTCGATTTTCGATAGTGCCTCCATCGAGATTATAGTTGCATCTTTTTGGAGGAGCTTTAAACCAGCAGCGAACTGGATTTTTTCTTGTTCGGCTTCGTCGATTACTTTCTGTACAACTTTTTCAGGGACTTCGGAGGTTTGAGATTCGGAGGTTTGAGAATCTTCTGTACCTATATGTACAAATATTAATAATACATTCGGTATTAAAATGGTTTATAAATGTATTTTACCTATATCAGATCCAATGTTGGATTGTCTGGGAGCTGAATGCTGATTTCTTTCGTGTCGAAGACGATTTGCTGAACTGCTAAAATATTTGTTGCAGTAACGGCAAGTGTGGGAATTTACAATTGCTGCAACAAAATGCATTGAATTAAAGTCACGCAAGAGTTACAAGTAATAATTTGGTGAGACACACTTGAGGATATTTTTAAGTACAAAATAATTGGAAAATAAAAAGTTACGAGGATGGGTCAATAAAAATTC